TCCCAACGATTTTTCCCGGTGTATGATTTGACGAGCACTTTATCACTGACATTAAATCTGCGGATATTCTGATTTTGTTTGCGTCCATCCATTTGTTTAGGTGGTAACGTGACGTCGAATGTAGTTCGGATGCTTCTCCCGAACATCGCTTCAGCAGGGGATTTTCCTTCTGGGACAATAGGGTTAGGCTAACTTGTCCCCTCTCCTTCCCCTTTCAGTAGTGCTCTTTTGAATGTGTCCTTCTCAAATTTCGACGTACTGACGTTGTTGCAGATCGAGTCTATGGGGCGGTCTGTTAACTACTACTTTTCTATCCAATCAAGCCCTAATAAGTCGAGTGATGGACGGTCTGTCAGAAAAATTACGCCCTTCTCCGTAAAATTTTTGACCGTGACTTCACAATGAATTTCACCAGCAATGTATAGAATTCCCCCAGACGCACTATGTGCTGATTGACGAGTTGGATAAATTCTCGGTCTCCCAATTTTCTCCCACGTTCTCCTGCTTATAAGTGTTATATCGGAGGCTGTGTCTAGTTGTAAGCGAGCATCACACCCATTAATCTTGAGAGAAATATACCTTCTACGGTGATGGGAGCCGGCTTGGTGAAGAGCTACTGTTACTTTTGCTGTTTGTGGCTTGAATCTTTTAGAATGCACTTTCTGTTGACGGCGTTTTCTGGTTTTGCAATGACTTTCTTTGTGCCCTTTTCTGGAACACATAGTGCAACGATGATTTTTAAACGGACAAAACCTTTTGAAGTGCCAACCGCCACATAACCAGCATGGGGATGAGGGTTTTTCGCTGTGATTATGATCATTCTGCGTGCTGGAACCTTTTGAGGTCTTTCTCTCGACTGCATGAACATGAAGGAACCGGTCACCGTTCTCCACCATCGAGGTATCATGCTTTAAATTCACTAACCTTTGACATTCGGTCGCTACTTCTTGCAGGGTCATGTTAGGACAATGTTCGATTTTGCTTAGGATCCTTGTTCGGATGTCAGCATCCTCGGGTGAATGCAGGCTACAGACAAACACTAGACATTTAAACTTGTCTTCAGTCATAGAAGACAATTTGAACCTCACACATTCTCGGTTCACCATTCCTGCATGTTTCACCCAGTCATCTCCTGGTTCTTTCGTTATCTTCAAGCATTGATAACGGATATTAAATAGAGATGATTGTTCTCCAAAGATTTGAGACAGGGTTTTAACTGTTTCATCAAAACTAAAGTCTCGTGGATTCTTCGGAAGAATGAAGTTGCTATAGCGTTCATGTTCCACAGTCCCAAGTTTTCTTAAAAGTATTCTGACTTTTGAAGCGTCATCAAGTTTGCAGAGATCAATATAGAATAAATCTTCATGCTTTTTAAACCAGGAATCAAATGTTACACCTGCTGCACCATCAAAATTAAATTCATATATGGCATTTATGATTGAATCAGTATGAGATATTTGTGATTCACCAGAAGCAGGGTTTTGTTGGGACAGGCACAATTTCTGCATCAAGGCTTCCATTATTCTGATTTGCGATTGTTCAAACCTCTTTTCTTGACGCACCATATAAGCTTCTAGCTGCTCCAAAGAAATATTCATTGTAGTCATCCCCGTCGCCACTGATAAGTCTTGAGATTTAGAACGCTATACTCGATTCCTAAGCTATTCTTGAAGACCCCTAAGCTAGAACTATACAGCGACCTGAACACGAGAGAGAAGGCGCAAAGTATGCGAAAAGTACTGTACTTCAAGGTTCGTTTTTGTACAGAAAAACACGGGTATTTATAGATGTTAACATTTGTTAAATCAACATCATATCTTGGCCAATCCGCTAAAAGACATATTATGCTACTGACCAATAGTAGCACGCCACGTTGGCATTCTAGAAAGCTCCATCGTGCTCTGATTGGCTAAGACTCTTCGGCTCCTTCAGGGCCTCCGGAGGCTCTGTTGCAGTTCTCGGAAAGCCGACTTAACACCTCCCCCCTTTCAAAAAAATAAGACCTCTCCTTCGGGTCTACTTGCAGCTTGATAACTGGTTTTCTGCTATTTTCGGACTTTCTTGGTATCCCGCGTCTATGATTGTCTTTTGGAGTTCCTGTCACTGGAGTATCTGTAATTATATCTAGCGGAAGCCTCACTTGACTATCAATCATGCCTAGAGTCCTTTTCTCTCTGCGTATTTGACTAATGTGTTTAATACTTATTCCGAAAGTCCCACGCACTTTGTATAAAACATTCCCCATTCTCTTCTCAATGACTCCCGGTTCCCAACGATTTTTCCCGGTGTATGATTTGACGAGCACTTTATCACTGACATTAAATCTGCGGATATTCTGATTTTGTTTGCGTCCATCCATTTGTTTAGGTGGTAACGTGACGTCGAATGTAGTTCGGATGCTTCTCCCGAACATCGCTTCAGCAGGGGATTTTCCTTCTGGGACAATAGGGTTAGGCTAACTTGTCCCCTCTCCTTCCCCTTTCAGTAGTGCTCTTTTGAATGTGTCCTTCTCAAATTTCGACGTACTGACGTTGTTGCAGATCGAGTCTATGGGGCGGTCTGTTAACTACTACTTTTCTATCCAATCAAGCCCTAATAAGTCGAGTGATGGACGGTCTGTCAGAAAAATTACGCCCTTCTCCGTAAAATTTTTGACCGTGACTTCACAATGAATTTCACCAGCAATGTATAGAATTCCCCCAGACGCACTATGTGCTGATTGACGAGTTGGATAAATTCTCGGTCTCCCAATTTTCTCCCACGTTCTCCTGCTTATAAGTGTTATATCGGAGGCTGTGTCTAGTTGTAAGCGAGCATCACACCCATTAATCTTGAGAGAAATATACCTTCTACGGTGATGGGAGCCGGCTTGGTGAAGAGCTACTGTTACTTTTGCTGTTTGTGGCTTGAATCTTTTAGAATGCACTTTCTGTTGACGGCGTTTTCGGGTTTTGCAATGACTTTCTTTGTGCCCTTTTCTGGAACACATAGTGCAACGATGATTTTTAAACGGACAAAACCTTTTGAAGTGCCAACCGCCACATAACCAGCATGGGGATGAGGGTTTTTCGCTGTGATTATGATCATTCTGCGTGCTGGAACCTTTTGAGGTCTTTCTCTCGACTGCATGAACATGAAGGAACCGGTCACCGTTCTCCACCATCGAGGTATCATGCTTTAAATTCACTAACCTTTGACATTCGGTCGCTACTTCTTGCAGGGTCATGTTAGGACAATGTTCGATTTTGCTTAGGATCCTTGTTCGGATGTCAGCATCCTCGGGTGAATGCAGGCTACAGACAAACACTAGACATTTAAACTTGTCTTCAGTCATAGAAGACAATTTGAACCTCACACATTCTCGGTTCACCATTCCTGCATGTTTCACCCAGTCATCTCCTGGTTCTTTCGTTATCTTCAAGCATTGATAACGGATATTAAATAGAGATGATTGTTCTCCAAAGATTTGAGACAGGGTTTTAACTGTTTCATCAAAACTAAAGTCTCGTGGATTCTTCGGAAGAATGAAGTTGCTATAGCGTTCATGTTCCACAGTCCCAAGTTTTCTTAAAAGTATTCTGACTTTTGAAGCGTCATCAAGTTTGCAGAGATCAATATAGAATAAATCTTCATGCTTTTTAAACCAGGAATCAAATGTTACACCTGCTGCACCATCAAAATTAAATTCATATATGGCATTTATGATTGAATCAGTATGAGATATTTGTGATTCACCAGAAGCAGGGTTTTGTTGGGACAGGCACAATTTCTGCATCAAGGCTTCCATTATTCTGATTTGCGATTGTTCAAACCTCTTTTCTTGACGCACCATATAAGCTTCTAGCTGCTCCAAAGAAATATTCATTGTAGTCATCCCCGTCGCCACTGATAAGTCTTGAGATTTAGAACGCTATACTCGATTCCTAAGCTATTCTTGAAGACCCCTAAGCTAGAACTATACAGCGACCTGAACACGAGAGAGAAGGCGCAAAGTATGCGAAAAGTACTGTACTTCAAGGTTCGTTTTTGTACAGAAAAACACGGGTATTTATAGATGTTAACATTTGTTAAATCAACATCATATCTTGGCCAATCCGCTAAAAGACATATTATGCTACTGACCAATAGTAGCACGCCACGTTGGCATTCTAGAAAGCTCCATCGTGCTCTGATTGGCTAAGACTCTTCGGCTCCTTCAGGGCCTCCGGAGGCTCTGTTGCAGTTCTCGGAAAGCCGACTTAACAGGTATCTAAAATATTCAATGCTGGTACACACAGGAGTTGGTTGAAAAAAGTTATTAACAGTCAGATCATGGCAAGCTATCAGTCCATAAAGTCAGAAAGGATAACAGTTTCTAAAAAAATATTATTGCCGATAATATTCTCTATTGAAGAATGATACAGTCAGCCAAATGTAGTCAGACGATGAGAAACAAATGTGACCCTAAGCATAAGTCCATTTCATTGACTAAGAAATAGGTTTGTTTCTCAACGGGTGCGTCACAACAGGAGTTGACGAATTTGCACTGACGCAGTTTACGAACCGATCGTGAATAAAACACTATGGGAAACCTGAAATTACTGAACTGCCATTAAGTCCGAGTATAAGACTCATCGAAATTGCCTATAAATAATAATTATCTGCCCGGTTCTAGAAACAATTGTCATTGATATCACATTAAAGACCACTCAACCAGCAAACAAGGGTGCTAATACCTAAATTCAGTTATTTAACGATACTGTAAAACACTTAACAACTGAACAGAATGAATAGCTGTCTCACAGGCAACAAAAATTAAACTTCACTAGTTACGACTTCGCATGAGAACTCAGGAAATTTGTATTAAGTTAGTATAGAAAAAAAATTAATTAAATCCTCTCCTGAGTAATTGTAAAAATTTACTTTGGCACAAAATTTAATGAAAACCATGATTACAGTTGACACTCTATTATATTGACAATATTATAAATTACTCTCGAGTATAAACAAAATAAACTCACATCGAAAATGGATAGACCGATTAAACACAATCCAGAAATGATCATTAGTAGTCTGATAGATGAGTTAATTACATGTGGAATAAGAGATTCGGTCATAATTACAATTTTACTTCTAGCTATCATGAACCAAAAACAGTTTCCCGCCATATCTAAAAACGAGTGGACAAAATAAAACATTATGTAATGTCACATATATATATATATATATATATATATATATATATATATATATATATATATATATATATATATATATATATATAAGTTGAACAATATGTCTCAACCACTCCTTTTAATAGAAGTGAAGATCATTACTTAACTAGAAAGTTTTCACATTAAAACTAGTCTGCATTGACGATCGACGATTATTACATTCACTAATGAAGCTAGTCACAAATGAGCTAGACAAATGATGTTGATCAACTGATTTGCGTTACTATTTGCAATTAGCTTCTAAATGTCATACTTCATCACATGAATAACAGAATTACCACAATAAAGAAATACATTTACACGGAGTAACTGTGTACTGATGTAAATATTTGTTTAGTGCGCCCCTTCATTTTGACGTCATTTAGATCGGACGATGATGTTATCGACAGGCTCATCAATTTTAGTGGCCCGATATCTCACTCCACTTTAATCGTATTATGATTGTTATTGAAATATACATTCTCCCTTTCCGCGTATAGAATTATCGACTTAACTCGCATTAATGAATAACAGAATTGAATAAGTCAAATAAGAGAATGAATTTCGAATACGTATTATTTTGTACAATCGTTTATCAGAACAGACAAGCAGAGAGACAGAGCAAAGGAAGCGAACAATATAGAGTGAAGTGAGATGAATTTGAGAAGCTATGTAAGACAATTCCTTCTCACTAAGTGTTACTCAATATTTGTAGCCGAATCGAATCAAGGTGAAGCGATTAATTAACAAGGTTATAATGTACCTGGAGAAGGATCGATTAATTTGTCTGTCCAGAAGCTAGAATAAGCTATGTAGACTTGACATAGCAACCGACGAATGTTTTCGTCAAAATCGTTTCAACCATTCATCGAAAATCACTAAGAGTTAGGGTACATAATTGTTCTGTATAAAAAATGAGATAACTACTATCTAGTCCGAAAACCTATAATATTCAAAGACCAAACAAATAATGTAAACATACATTCTCTCATTATATATGTAAATTATATTTGAAATAATCTGTCTCACTGGAACAACTTTGGTACATATCACTTTTTCACAGATCTTCAGTCCAGTATAATTCAGTGATGAGGTCGAACTTATGAGATCAAAGTATATTGTGTTACATATTGAATTTTGTCAAGTCAATATAGAAACAGTGTACTAATATGCAATAACTTTTAACGGGTACTTGGAAATGCCTAATTTCGTTTGATGAATAAGGACTTTTCTGAAGAAAGTAACTGCATATAATTTTAGATCTTTAATTGAATTGACATAGTTTTAAAAAGTTTAGTGAATCACATTACTCACTGAATAGAGCATAGCTAATCATCAGCACTCGAAACCAATGTTTTTCTGGTGGAAATACTCCAAATGAACTACAAATATATAAGCAAAGAATTTGAAGAAACTGTATAAATGAAATCAATTTGTTATTGTGAAAACTGTTTCATTCAAATGTGTTTTGAAGAGATAGAAACTAATTAATTTTTGAATGGCATTACAAAACTTAGAAATACGAAAATATCATTTAGAGTTTGTAATTTACAGTAATTTTGGTTGTTCTAACTAAGTGAAAGGTATCTATAGACATTACATAAATATAAAGTAATAATTAACCTAAAGGTCTTCTTCATTATTCGCCATCAAAAACAAAAGTATTAAATTCAAGTAAATTATCTTTGTATATGCTTTTTCAGAAAATCATTTTCATCATTTATCAGTCCAACCTATTCAATACATAATTAACTTCGTTAATGAATGATCTATTTGTCATTTTTAATTATGATGACAATGCTATGTACAGATATCGATTTTTACTTTATTCAGATTATTAATTAATTATTCAACTTGTTAAGTAATAAAACAACTACCTTGTGGTCAGTGATTTTGATTTCAGAATTCCAACCTCCTAACTAATTTGAATTTCTATCATATTTTGTAATCTCATGTGATTTAAACATGTGACGGTTAAACGTAATCGTCAAGCTTACCAGAAATTTATTATTTCAGGAATAATTATGTGTTTTAATGATTTCACCATTGATTTTATTACTAATTGAAAAAAGAAACTAGACAAATAACTTACCTAATTAATGGGAATAAACCATTAACATGCTCGTAATATACAGATACCATGTATCTTTAAAAGAAAACAAAAACATGATTTCTTTAAAATACGTAAGTAACTTTTATGTAGTAAATTAATTATGAAAAAAAGATTTAATATAATATAAGTTTGTATTCGATCATGACCTGTGTACAAATACGAATTGCGGATACTCACTGTTAAGTGAACTGTAAGTGGTTAGTAAGCGAAAATAGACATCCAACTACGGTAAACAAGTAAGATAATATATTACATTACAAACTTTTTATCACCATTAACTTCACTGGTAATAAATAAAACGGTTCTATTAGGATTAAATTTTTGATTGACTACTTTTGATTTGAATGAAAAATTATTCTATAACTAGAATATAACAATCACTTTGTGGTTGAATATTTTAGATTTGTGAAATACGAGATCTAGTCTAATCATTTGTCCAGTAAACTAATCGAGGGCCTAATATATTATTATAGTACTTCGTAATATCAGAACAAATAATTTCATTTTTCCACTACAAAAATAAGTTCGGTTGAAGAGAAAAACACTTTCTAATAGTTTCATAAATAATACTAATCTTCAAATGTTTTCCAAGATCCAACTAGATGCAAGTAAAAATTTCAAGAAAAAAAAATACAAATTTCATTTATTTGTCTATCATGCAACGATATTTATTTACCTCGAAAGTCAAGGCATTGAAAAGTTATTAAAGCATAGAAAATTGTTACACGGACATTGTTTTATGCAATAGGAGAAATGCACTATAAAACTCATGTATGAGATTCATGTAAAAGACTTCGAATCAATTACACAGATATTCATATAATTTAAGGAAGTATGTCACTTGCTGTAATATATAGATGCTATATATCTTTAAACGAAAACAAAGAATTCATTTCCTTAACATATGAATGTACTTGTAATTGACTCATGATCTTAACCAATATAGTTATTATAATATCCACAAAACTCCTTCTGATACCAATCAACATATGCTCACTAGTGATTGGCTTCAAGAGGTACTTCCTGGAGTTCTAGTGAAAAGCAGTGATCAGTGGAGTTCAACCGGGTTTGTTGTGAGATAGCAACTCACTGAAGACATTGGTAGATGTGTTGCTCAATTTTGTGGATTAGTTGAAGATTGACATTAACAGCGTAGGATGCCGACTGGCTCAGTGGTCTAGAGGTTAAGCGTTCACGCGAGAGATCTATAGGTCCTGGGTTTGAATCTTGAGAGGTGGGGTCGTAGGTGCGCACTGCAAAGTCCCACAATAGAGCGAAACGGCCGTCCAGTGCTTCCAGGTTTTTCATGGTGGTCTAGCTTCAATTAACTTATGATCTCAATCATTAAAATTACTATAATATCCACAAAACCCATTATGGTGTAATATAATTGTTGACAGTGCAACAGATTGATTTCCAATTCCTGTTTTTATTTATTACCCATCAGTTAATTTTTTATGAAAAATATCTCATATTTCTAAACTTGATTTCAATATAGATATTCAAAGTTAAAATTGAGATAATTGACTTACACTGGAGGAAAACCCAAAATAGCAATAATCAGCGCAATTTTAGAAAACCAAACTGGTTTAACTTTTCTCCAACAAATTAACATTCAACTTCAATATTTTTTTCTACAAGTTGAGTTAAAATCTAAAATTAAAAAAATATATATCATATTTCGGAGCATATTACGAGACTACAAACACAACTGTCGAGTGCATGCATAACTTTCGAATGTATTCCAAGTACAATCTGAGTCTATAAGACCATACATCGATCGATTACTGAAATAAGAAACATTATCACTAATTCAAAACATTTTTATCTTTGAATATTTGAACTGGAATAATTAGAATTGATAATGTCAAGGGAACTTAACTCACCTTTCTGTTATAAGTTCTTATAAAAACTTAAATGCTCTTCACTAAATCAGGAAGATAACCACAGTAAAGTGGATAATTGATTGTCAAAATATCTTAACACTTTGTATGCTGGACTTCATACAGTTTCAAACATAGTATTGCATCATGACAAACCGCCATGTCATATCTTTCATCTCCAAATAAAGCGCGTTATGACTATGTTATGCTTCTTACTTATCCATTATTACTGTGTTACTTTTCTTTCTGTCGTATAAAGTAATCGCTCCAAATAGTCATGATATCATTATTGTTTTGCCACAAAGAACATTTATGGTTTCCTGAAAACATTTTTTTTTTCGCTTAAAATATCTAGAATTGATTGACCACTGAGTTGTGAGCAATATCATATATTCTAGTTGAATTCTATCGATCAGATTGCATTATGGACACTAACCTCAAAGACTTGACATCTAGAACACTATTAGTCAATCCTCAGTAATCAACCAACCGTAAAGCATCTGATTCCTAAAGGAGGTCAGTTACTATGCTAATAGCGAAGTGAAGTGTAATATCCGTGCATAAAAATAGTTACAATCCTACAATATATATATAGACGTATAAATCAGATAAAATGTAGTAATTTTCATAACTGAGTATTATTTTTATTAGATCCTGTGTTGTGAATGAGACACTCATGAAAGTTTAAGCAAATCTAGTCACTGTTTTCTAAAACAATTAAATGTTCTTGTCATAAATATTTTTAAAAACTCAACTTTTAATCTCCTACCCCTGTTATTGAAATATTAAATAACATGACAGTGGTGCTACTAAGTACATTTTATTTTTTGAAAATGTACAAATTAGAGTGTAATCAAGTTTGAACATGCTTATTTATCTACAATAGTAAACACTGATGTTTATAATTTCAATATTATGAAACCTTTGAAATAAATTTTTATTGTGCAATCTGATTTACTACGGGGTTATCTAAATATAACTAATACGTGAAGAAAGCTCATAAATCCCTACATAAAAATCGATATATATGTGACTCAGGGCTAAGTACAATTAATAATTCACATAGTTCTAGGGAGAAGCTGTAATCGTTGAAGTTGTTCTATGAGAAGCGTGAGGTGAATTTCAAAAACACCAATGAATGATGATCATTTTCAAATTGACTATTGTTAGAAATAAAATATTATTAGATCCCAAATCACTGGTCTGGACGTCGGAGGATCTCTGTGAGACCCTGGGGCCAAGAGTTTGATTCTTGATTGAGTCATGGATGTTCACCGCTGATAAGTATCATAATAGAACTGTTTTGTGTTTGCTTGTTTTCAGTGATTGTTTAATTACAGGCAATTTGTAACGTAAAACTCTAGTCATAGCATCTGCAATCCACAGCCTCCAGTACTAACAACTATGAAATCACTAACTATAAACCGTGATAACATTACACATAATTACATTCAACGTTTTCTTTCTTTTTAGGGTTCTTCACAGAATGCAGTTTGTATATTACGAGTAATAACATATACTTTCAATGAAGTTGACAAGCATACTGATATAATGTTGCTACTGACTCAATATTAGAAGCTTATGATCGCAAATAAAGATTTAACCATTTGTAAAATATCCTTATTTCATCCTATTACTAATTCAAATTAAGTAGTTTAAAGATAGACTACCAAATAGTTTATACATGAGCCAGTGGGAAAGTGTTTAGTTGCCCTCCTTTCATCGATAAATGGAGATTGTAGATGCTAGTGATTGTAAAAGCAAATGCTGATCATTTTTTTAAAGACATTTCATTTAAGACTCTTTACTGAAAACATTTTCGAACCATGTGAGAACGGACCGCTTGATATCCGTATGACATAACACCTAATTTCATTGTCCATTCAGCAAATCAACATGTTAAACAGGTGCTCTGAAATCCAATCCTAAACAACTAAAAATGAGAAGGATTATATCCTCTCAAAAATCTGACCCGAATTGATAAGACTTCTGGAAAGCACTCTTTATATTTGAAATCAAAATAAAGATGAAGTGTAAATTTTGGCCACCATCAATTCCATTCTATGTAATTATGAATCTTTAGTCAACATAATTTGATTGATATCAACTAAACTTGATTAAATCCTAATAAGTAGTGCATCGTAGGTTACTGCCGGCTCCAACTCGAATAACGGAGAAGGATTGGGCATGTCACAACCAACACCATCCCATAGAAAACAAGATTACCAAAATAGTCTCTTTCCATTGTATGTCATTTGAGCATGTACAACTGACTCAAGATTACTTATCATTATTGGATATGGAAAAAGTCTTACGTGTGTAAAGTTTGCAAGTGCTTTACAAATATTCACCCTGATGTTCATCATGTACCATTTTCAATGTGTGGGAAACTGCACAGATAACAACAACTTGACTTTTTCGAGAGTAGGGCTAGTTTATGATAATGTCATGGTCCAAGTACTGTTACAATTTCCACCATCTTCAAACACAGACTTTAGTCATTCGTTTGAAATAAACTATTATTTTACGTAGAGGCAGCATTAGATCAAGCCATCCCAAATAACACGACTGGAATATCAGACAAATATGATCAATAATCACTATACAACTGTCTCTTCTCCACATCATCTCTATTCTCATATTAATAGTTCACCGTAAATAATACAGCACATAACATTTCACCCTCCTCACTCTGTCCTAATCACTTGCATTCCAAACTACCATTGACTTGTAGATTTATGAATTGAATAATCTAATCTAAGCGAATCATGGCAGTATCCGACCAGTAGGCATTATCTCTATGTCTTTACTTGTAATTAAGTTTTACCGAGAATATTTAATACAACAAACTCTATGATATCAATTATCTGTCTATTCAGATGAAATTATAGTATTTTACAATGAGTAAATAAATCGAATAATTTAATTAGTAGCAGTAAACTTACTTTAAATAATCAATCTTTAATCAAATGTTAATGTGAATTGCCTCATTTAAAATCGAGAATATCACAGTATAACCGCAAGCGTGCAAACTATTTTATAACACAATACACATGACGCTTTCCTTCAGTAAAACATAATAATGATTTTAACCAATCAATCAAGAAGCTATTAAGAAATGTTTTTGAGAATATTGATTTGTGTTTAAAATACATGTAAACTATCGATACTTGTTGATACAAGAGATATGATTGAATGAATTATGCTGATAAAGTAGAATATAATTGAAGTAAATAAATTTTCTTGATACATTCTAATATAACGACTCTCCTACAATCAATTTTGATTATGGTTAAATTTTGTTAACCCCCTTTATTAACTTGCTTGACAGACAATGTTATTCCAGCAGTAATAATTCGTCTATTTATTTGTACTATTATGATCATTGTCATATATGTATAAACGTGCACGCTTGATCATATGACAGCCCACACCATATCTCCTTCTAGCTAAAATGTTGATAGCTTATGTATCGATCAAATACTCGTCAATTTGTTAAATGTGTATGCAAATATTTGTAATTGTTTGCATTTTTTATGGATGATATTACCTAGTCCAATTGGTCAATATTCATAAACATGTGAGCATACCTCTTAGATTAACTCATTTATCATTTGTAATTTCAATCCCTCTTTCCAGCTATTTTTATATGTTTTTTCTTACTACTTGATTACAATAAGTAACTTGAGTCATAAATGAATAATTCTCAGACTAATGCACAGTATGTATTTAACATACATATATAAATCATTTACTCTTGTATTTTGACGTTTATACTCACCCTCCTACTTACAACAATAATTTTCTACTTTCTTTTTTCATGCTATCTAGTGTTTTCTACACTATTAAACCCCGTATAACTTGAAGGATTAGCTTATTTTGACATATTAAACATAATTTGAATACGATTTCATCTAAAGATGACAGTTTGATGAAGTTATTCTCTCTGAGCTGCGTGGTTTCATCATGAAGCTTTCGTTCTCTTTCTAAACAACTTTATTAGTGTGAATCTCAGGTAAGCATAAGCTACTCGAATTTTCTAAAAACAACTAACTGCTTGTTCTGTAGACCTTCATTCCTTTAATTTGTGGTTGTTATGCCGCTATTATCTATGCACTTATTGCAACTATCTTCTCTTCAATTCATTTATTAACCTTGTTGTTATCTGTGATTTCAAGGTCCAACATAATTCAATCAACAAATCAAAACCTATCAAAAATTACTAACCAGTTATAGATGTTGACACAAACAGTATTCGAAAAATTCATTGTATGAAAGTTCTCATAAGCCAAGATATTCTTTCTCCATTCAATATCTTCCATGAATCAACCGCTTTATCTCTTGTTGCGGATGATACCAGTAGACATTACAGAGATACAGTTGCATAACTAACTGACAACTTGCATATATTGGGTAGGAAGGTAGCGAAAGGTATTTCAGTATCTGTAATTATTTTTATCTGTAACCAGCTCGGTCATATTACCGTGCTGGAGAAGTAAAGTTATTGAGTTCATCATAATCATATATGAAATCACTTATTAGGACCCCTATCTATCTTTAGTCACAAAAATAAGTCAGGAAGTCCAGTCCAACTATTTTGGGGGAAAACAGGGACTTGCTCCGGTGTATAACTTACACGGCGATTCAGATGGGTACACCTATACAGTCAATGTAGTTGCATAAGTCATTTAAATCTTTGGAATATTCTGGTTTATGATTGGAAACAATTATGCAGTTGTTTTGTCAATCGATGTAAATGAATAGAAAACAATTTAGATGAATGTTGCAAGCATGTTAATGACCTAAATACACTCCTCATTTTTATTTGATTTGATTTTAAAAAGGCAGAAACCACTAGTGTGTACAGAAATTCTTCAAGTGAGATTACCAGGATTGATAGGTCTACCTAAAACATACAAACCCGACATGCAGATAAGATCAATATTATCTATGACCAAATCACCCTTCCATAAACTCGCCCTCTGGCTGACACGGTTCTTAGAGCCAGTCAGTAAGAAACTGGCACCCTACAGTCTGAAGGATAATTTTGGTTTTGTACGAAAGCTTGATAGCCCAGATGCTTCTGATAAATTCATGGTCTCGTTTGGTGTCTTATTACTCTTCACAAAGATCACTTTGGAAGAAACGGCAGATATCATATGTGAATGTCCTGAACTTCTGCCTTTACTAATCCATGAATTCAAACAGCTCCTGTTTCTGTGTACCAAAAACATGCAATTTCAATTCAACAACGTGTTGAACCGCCAAATTGATGGAGTAGCCATGAGTATTCATTTGGGTTCAATTATAGCCGACATTTTTATGGGAAACCTAGAACAGCAGAAGCTCAAGCATGTAGGCGATGGACCTACACTCTACTGTAATATTTATGACACGTTTCTTGTCTGCAACAATCATAAGCACTCCATGAACCTACTCTATATGTTTAATAAAGCATACAAGGATATTGATTTTACTATGGAACATGAAGTAGAAGGTAAATTCCATTTCCTAGATATTGGAATCAGACGAACATCAGACGGCACATTACAAAGACACATTCACAGCAAAAATATCTGGACTGGAGTTTATCTCAATTACTACAGTTTCTGTCTAATGAATAACAAAGAGGGTATTGTGTGGACACTTTTTGACCGCTCACGCAAACCTTGCTCAAAGAAATGCCTGGAAGATGAAATTTTTCTCATTACCAATTACCTACGTGAAAATGCATATGCGGTGAAGTTCATCCAGAAATATGCTCAAACCAACCCTCGGGTTAAGTACAATAGAGTGTAAAAGAAAACTTGCTTCTTATACTTACGCTTCAAAGGAGATGAATCACTGGAATAATTAATCACAGGATAAATTACGCGTTGAAGATGACCTACCCAGTAGCAAAACTGACGACGCTATGGGAAACGAACTACCCTCTCAAACAAACTAAAATCGACAAGTCCTGTTTTCTCAGTAGCTCCAACTGCATTTACCAATTTACATGTACGTGCCGAAGCACATACGTTGGAAGAACCAAGGAAAGATTACATGTTCGCATTTCCAAGCATGAGCCGAAGAAATTGAGACTGCGAGGGACTAAGGCTCTTAACAGTGCAATAGCTCAGCATTTACTTGACACCGGGCACACCATTGACATTCCTCATGCTTTTGAAATTATTAGCAGACAAAGAAATACTGCTTGTCTGTGTTTTGCTGAAGCGATTGCGATAAAAAGTACTCAAACCTGATTTATGTATTCAAAAAGAGACGGTAATAAACCTATTATTACCCTGGTAATTCAATTTTTGGTCATTAGTTCTATTTTGTTAATGTTTTGGTTTGTTATATATCTTTTCTATCACCGAATTCTTAAATCACTCCTTCACTCATACATTTTCATTCACTTGATTCTCTTAAATTATGTAAACTTTTCAAATCCTAATTAGTTGTAACGTACCCATCTTATCAGTTCTTTTTAATTCCATGAATCTTATATAAACCTTTTATTACCTCTAAAATTATCACATAATTTATCTTATCTGTCTCAGATCTTCACTCAACTAATTTCAGAACCCATCCTTAATGTTTCCTTGATTCTAACACCAAATAACCTCTGACCTGTACTTGCACACACACATATATAGTTATTATTGATAACCATTGTCATTCCAACTTCCGAATTCTTCGAAGATTGTTTGATAAATGTGTAAACGCATGCAACCATCGTATTTCCAAGTGAGAATCAAAATTTCGACTAATGTAAGTGAAAATCAAATTTCATCCGATTTAAACGTTTCCACAACTGACTTTCGAAACAAATTAAGAAACACGTTTTCAATTTTCTCACCAGTTAGTTCATAAAGAAATGATCAAATCGCTATTCATCAATGTATTCATCGATTTTGTTTAAAGATTAGTAAGTACAAGATGTCGTTTGAAATAATTGACATATTTTAAACTTGTTTCATAAGTTGTATTGTGGTAATATTTCTGGTTTTATTTCGAACTAAAACGTCTTCATATGTTTGTGTCTCCAGAGCAATGACTAGAGTGAATAGAATACACGCAAGAACCATAACCCACTCAGCAATTGCACAATAAAGAAATTCCCAATAACCCTGAACATGTTGACAAAATAAATAAAATATTAGCTAAGGCAAAAAATACTTTCTTACATAAATTTCAATATTAGTGTTGTGGTTACCAGATCTGATCAAGTTCACCATTTATGTTGTCAAAACTAATAATCTAAAAAAGCCAGGTTTAAGACAAATTCACCGTTCGCAGTTATAGCATATGATTTTAGGTTTGTTTGTAACATAATATTTGGTTGTTAAGTTTAAGATGACTGAGATTAGATATTAATGTGATTTGGCTTGTATTTTAAATGTAATTGTAAGATTAGCAAACACAATAAATTCAAGTAATGCACGGATAATAATGTCTTGGTGCCTAGCTGATCTGAATTCAATTTAAAAGAACGAATTATTATGTGATGAACATAAATCTGTCACTTAACTTCGTGTATTACACATAGGCTAACATCGCTTGTCTGATAGTGGCAATAAGAAGCCAAATACGGGTTACGTCAGATCAAGTCATTTCAAACACTTGTTTATACAAACAGACATCCACAATGAAAAATAGAAAAACAAAGTGGAAAATTCGAGTGAGACAACTCGATTTGATCAAACATGACTCGACATTTTGTTACCAGACAAAAACAAGCTAAAGATATGTGACGAATAGTGTGGGCGATACTCACGAGCTCATAGAAAAATAGACAAAGTTAATAAGCAAATGAGTGACAGATTAAAAATGTGGTTTGAGAAGATTGAATAAACTGGTTTGTTTGGAAGCTAGAATAACCCATGTGGTTTTGACATACTACTACAAAGTAAATGTAAGATAACATGTGTAATTGGTCAAGAATCACGTAATGTAAAAAATAATCATCTAAAATTCCAAAAGCCAAATGGTCAAAATGACATTTATAATTGGATGGTGACTGCACTGATCAGATCTTTGAAAAGATTAGAGATCAACGAGATATTTCATTAAACATGTACCAAACAGTTAAGTGGATAGGCACTCATTTACCTAGGTCATGCGGACTACCGATGGTCAACAAACCGGGTATCCCATTAAGACGAAATTAGGACATGTACGATTTTCCTTATACTGTAGAAAAGTGGTTAATTACCATTTTTAGACCACCCCACTAATGCTTAGAGAAGCATAGTATTAAATATGTATTGCAGTTCGTCGACAAGATCAAAAACATAAACTCTAAAAGACAAACGATGATTTCCTTAGACATAACATCGTTGATTATCAATGTTCCACTCAGGGAGACTGTTGAATATATCTGTGAACAACTTAGATGACAAGTAATAAAGACCGCAATCCCTGTGAATGTCTTAGGGGGTTATTACAAAAATGTACTCTGAACGTAAACTTCAAATTCACTGGTAAATTAATATAGACAAATAGACGGTGTAGCGATGATTTCACAGTTAGATTTTTTCGCTGGACTAGAAAACAGTCTGCTGGGATAGCAGAATGACAAGTTTTCATTTTACTGTCGATATATCGACAATAAGTTCATCCTATATAACGACTATACTGACCTAACAGAAACACCAAGGGATTTAATGAAGTTCATCAGTCTATCAAATTCACATATCAGGAAGTAAATAGAAGTAGAATGGCCCTTCTAGATGTTCTACATACAAAGAGAGTAGATTGATCACTAAGGCGAAACTTAAACAAGAAAACGACTGGACTGGCCAATATACACACTTTCTTAGTTTTGTTTCTCTACAATACAAAGGCAACCTTATCAAAACACTTCTCCATAGAATCAAGGCTATATGCGGTCAAAGAGGAAACAAAGGTATTAAGCACTACCCTGAATGAAAACGGATATGCGGAGAAATTTGCAAATAAAAATTCGGTTAAGAAAAGAGAGTATAAGGAAGACCTAAATGTGACCAAAAATTTGCTATATATGCGTTTACATTTCAGAGTTGATTCACCCAGCAAAATTCTAATGCTAAAGTTGCACAGAACAATTCAAAAAATCTTTATTGTGGGTAAACCACAATTATTGTGTTTACACGTCCGATAATCACTTCGAGATTGTACGATAGTTTGCCTAGACTAGCCACCTCTTTCTGTATCTACCAATTCAACTGTTCTTGTGGAACAAGTTATATTATTAAATTAGATATCTAATTGTAGGATCTGAAGAGAATTTATTGGAAAGAAAATTCTTAGTTTATACATCTATGCTTCCAAGCTCAGTCGAGTCTGTACGACCGCAGAAATTGTCTTTTCAGACACAACCAATCCAGACTGAACTGACGAATTGAATGTAAACAATCCACACTAACCCATAATGTGAATTCACTCAAAATTCAAAGCATGTTCATCCATAATATTTACAAAGTGAAAACTTACACCATCAGTTGGTTTCATTCGATAAATATTCGATGTATTCAATAAGGGAAGCCCAATTACGTTGAAATAGACAACTAGAATTATACAAACAAATATTGGTGACGATTAAACTTGATTGAAATGTTAGTTTTAATGTTTATTTATTGTAATCATAAACTTTCATTAGAAGTTTGTCATTAATAGGAATTTAATTCACCATTCCTAATTTCTAAACTTAATTCGACCACTTACTTTTCTATAATGTTCAGCAGCTAGGTTCTAACGATATCACTTACATTTAGTTAGAAGGTCATTTATAAGTGTAACCAATTATAATCACTACAGTGTTTATTGAGAAAAAAAATCAGAGGATGAGGAAAGTGTATTCTAACCACTTCGTTGTGGTGGTGGACCTCAAGTAATTGTATTTCAAGATTTAAGCGATGAATTACATGTAATGATACCAATTTAATGTCTCTTAACCATATCAAACCTGTTACGGAGTTTTATTTGTAAGTAGTTTTATTGTATATTCTGAAGCTTAATTAAGTTCTCTATACTTAACGTTTCATTTTATGAAATCTCCTTCGAATTAGTTTACAAATTATTTGTGAGCTTTCGAAGGGAACAAATATTTCTAATCATTATATGACTGTTTAATCGATTTCAACCTGAATTCATTCCAATTCTTGGTACATAATGATGAAAGCTCCTTTGAATATATAAATTATAAACATCATTTTCGGCTTTTGAATAACAAGATAAATCAATGTATTGATTTGTCATCTAATACTCATACAATGCTCAGCATTTTATATTGTGACTACCGGTAGCTTTATAGGACGAGAACATTTGAACTCCTACTAATGTACTGATAAATACTTTCTGTAGAAAATTATAAAGATATGCATCATTACAAATTTCTTTACATTTTCAGTATATATATCTTGAAACTCACATAACATTGCTCCGATAACCAATTTTACAACAATTATAAGGCGGATGCAACTAAACCAAAAAGGTTTCTCAAAATATTTGGCCACTAGGCAACATCCAAACAATACTGACAGAACGTGACACATAAAGTTGCCAACTGTCATCAGATAGTGTATTTCATTGTAATTCTCCATCTTTAGATTGAAAATAAAATAAACGCATGAAGAATTAAAGTTAAATAAATCATATTCAAATTTCTAACAACTCATTTCAACCTATTTCATTTTAATGCTCCTAACTTGCTCATTCCTTACTCATTTATAACTTTTGAAACTTAAATTTGTCAAATTAAAATTATTTGTGACTCCAGTTTTACAATCACTTACTTTAGTCATATCATTTCATTAATTATAAAAACTCGAATCGAACATCTAATTTAGTTATTAACAGTGATTCACTACTGGGTAGCAACAAATATCATGTTTGTTCAGTACCCAATCTTGACTGAATTCCATCTCGGCGAATTCATTTTCGAGGCTGTACAATCGCAAAAATAGATACTTATTTTCACAATTGATTGATCACTGGGTGGTGACCAATGTCATGCGTGTCTAGTCCTTATTATTAGTGCAGATCGAATGCTGTCGATCATGTTGCAATGTGACCACTAGTCTTATTTTTACAGGATGATAATAATACTGGTAATAACCTTCTGTTAGACATGTTGACAGTGAGGTTAAATAAACAAAGTTATTAGAAAATTCTTTTTAAACTAAGGAAAGTTTAATAAACATTCAATTGTTAATGGTATAAGTATTCATCAAAAGATAGATAGGGAAACGGATAGCTCAGCATGATAAGATAAATGTTGAAAGTGAGATCAAATATAATGAAAATGATCGTGGAAACAAAATGAACCCGTTGGGGGTAGGAAATTTAAGGGGACTATGGAGGGTGAAGCAGATGGCTGTAAAGGAAGAATAGTATGAAGAAAGAGAAAAATTGAAAATATAAATAAAAATTATAAGACATTAGGACCATGGTAGAAGAAGGGGTTGTACCAGCCTTTTTTGCACACACAATTCTGGTTTTTCCAGATGTATGGCTATTGCTTCGGCAATGCAAAGAAGATTCAGTCTAATTGTGTTTGGGAGACTTCTGCTTACCTTGTAGATGACTTTGAATGCAGAGTCTGTCTTGATTGAGTGACCTGTGTTCACAAAGTGTTCAATTACTGAGTTTCTTATTGAGCTGCTTCCTCTTGTTCTTAGCCATGCCGGACAATGTGCTTGAATTCTTTTGGATAAAGTACGCATAGGACGACCTATATACCTAGCTCCACATGAGCAGGTAAATTGATAAATGCACATTGAGTTGGTCAGATGCGATAATTTATCTTTAAGATTACTAGTGAACAATGATCGACTGGAGAATACTATTTGCAATGTTGCTGCGGGGAATGTTCTTTATAAATAATCGAAAATTCTCCTCTTTAGGGTGTGTGTGGCTCTGTCGCCCTTGAATTCGATGTTCATATATAATCTTTTCTTTTCTACTGTAGTGATCTGTGTTTTTGACGTTTTCGGCTTTATGTTCTTATCAATGAAAATCGAAGGATATCCGTTTTTAATAAGTATCTCCTTCAGGTGGCCCAATTATTCCTCTATGACGTCGTGACTACAGATTCATCGAAAAAAACCTAATAATAACACTCGTAACGAAAATACGACGAACTAATCTTTCTTATTTAATGTCTTAATGGGTGTATTCCGTTTAATGAATTCCATTTATCAATTGCAGAATGATCACCAGACTAATTAATTCGATGAAGCTTACACTATTTTCGACGATGGTGGAAGTTAACAGAAAACTGTGGGCTCAATGATAACGTCTCTGTCTGTGACACCAGGTGGAAAAAGTTCAAATACAAAGTGTGACCAGTGGATTCATTCGTGTATAGTTATGATTATAGTTATACCATAAGCATAGGCTGTTACATCTTGGATTTTATCCAGCTGTTGGCAAATAAGCGAACTTTCCAAAGTTGTTTAAAGAACGATCCAAAGTTTCAAGAAAAGATAATAATATAGTTATTAAAAATAGATATGATTACTGATGGGCTTTAACTTAGCCATTATGGTATAAATAAAGGCCATATTCAAAAATAATTATCTTTTACTAAGCAGAGATCTATTGGGTTTCAGTTTCACTTAAAAATTTATGAAATTCTTCATGAACTCGGCCGTCTTTTTAAAAGAAGTTTTAACAAATAAGCAAATGAAATAAAATAATATGTAATATTATGTATCATAAGCTGAAAGGATTTAAACTATCGACAGTCTTGTGTATTAGGAATCAGTGCATTCTTGTCAATTTACTGGTCAGGTGTCAACCAATCCATCAATAACTAGGCTTTCCGTATCTTTAACATAGTAAGAAGTACATTGAAATATTTAATACGTGAAAACAAATGTCTTGTTATTCTATGCGGAACAATTCAAGAACTGATGACAATAGTAACAATTCATTTCCGAAATTTCTTGTAGTAAATAAGAAAAAAGAGCTGAGATTTGTGTGCTGAAGAACACAACGTTTGCACCAAAATTTATTTGGACCTATGAAACCACACAGATATTTTTAAAAAATGTATTTTAAATTATTTAATAACAGTTTGGACTGTCTCATTGTTGACATTTTGGGTGAACATCAACTGTGAGACGCAGGTATGCCAAAATAGTGAGTCCTGAATAGGATAAAATTTACATCTTAGATTTTATTGATGATCTCGAGTATAAACAAAATAAACTCACATCGAAAATGGATAGACCGATTAAACACAATCCAGAAATGATCATTAGTAGTCTGATAGATGAGTTAATTACATGTGGAATAAGAGATTCGGTCATAATTACAATTTTACTTCTAGCTATCATGAACCAAAAACAGTTTCCCGCCATATCTAAAAACGAGTGGACAAAATAAAACATTATGTAATGTCACATATATATATATATATATATATATATATATATATATATATATATATATAAGTTGAACAATATGTCTCAACCACTCCTTTTAATAGAAGTGAAGATCATTACTTAACTAGAAAGTTTTCACATTAAAACTAGTCTGCATTGACGATCGACGATTATTACATTCACTAATGAAGCTAGTCACAAATGAGCTAGACAAATGATGTTGATCAACTGATTTGCGTTACTATTTGCAATTAGCTTCTAAATGTCATACTTCATCACATGAATAACAGAATTACCACAATAAAGAAATACATTTACACGGAGTAACTGTGTACTGATGTAAATATTTGTTTAGTGCGCCCCTTCATTTTGACGTCATTTAGATCGGACGATGATGTTATCGACAGGCTCATCAATTTTAGTGGCCCGATATCTCACTCCACTTTAATCGTATTATGATTGTTATTGAAATATACATTCTCCCTTTCCGCGTATAGAATTATCGACTTAACTCGCATTAATGAATAACAGAATTGAATAAGTCAAATAAGAGAATGAATTTCGAATACGTATTATTTTGTACAATCGTTTATCAGAACAGACAAGCAGAGAGACAGAGCAAAGGAAGCGAACAATATAGAGTGAAGTGAGATGAATTTGAGAAGCTATGTAAGACAATTCCTTCTCACTAAGTGTTACTCAATATTTGTAGCCGAATCGAATCAAGGTGAAGCGATTAATTAACAAGGTTATAATGTACCTGGAGAAGGATCGATTAATTTGTCTGTCCAGAAGCTAGAATAAGCTATGTAGACTTGACATAGCAACCGACGAATGTTTTCGTCAAAATCGTTTCAACCATTCATCGAAAATCACTAAGAGTTAGGGTACATAATTGTTCTGTATAAAAAATGAGATAACTACTATCTAGTCCGAAAACCTATAATATTCAAAGACCAAACAAATAATGTAAACATACATTCTCTCATTATATATGTAAATTATATTTGAAATAATCTGTCTCACTGGAACAACTTTGGTACATATCACTTTTTCACAGATCTTCAGTCCAGTATAATTCAGTGATGAGGTCGAACTTATGAGATCAAAGTATATTGTGTTACATATTGAATTTTGTCAAGTCAATATAGAAACAGTGTACTAATATGCAATAACTTTTAACGGGTACTTGGAAATGCCTAATTTCGTTTGATGAATAAGGACTTTTCTGAAGAAAGTAACTGCATATAATTTTAGATCTTTAATTGAATTGACATAGTTTTAAAAAGTTTAGTGAATCACATTACTCACTGAATAGAGCATAGCTAATCATCAGCACTCGAAACCAATGTTTTTCTGGTGGAAATACTCCAAATGAACTACAAATATATAAGCAAAGAATTTGAAGAAACTGTATAAATGAAATCAATTTGTTATTGTGAAAACTGTTTCATTCAAATGTGTTTTGAAGAGATAGAAACTAATTAATTTTTGAATGGCATTACAAAACTTAGAAATACGAAAATATCATTTAGAGTTTGTAATTTACAGTAATTTTGGTTGTTCTAACTAAGTGAAAGGTATCTATAGACATTACATAAATATAAAGTAATAATTAACCTAAAGGTCTTCTTCATTATTCGCCATCAAAAACAAAAGTATTAAATTCAAGTAAATTATCTTTGTATATGCTTTTTCAGAAAATCATTTTCATCATTTATCAGTCCAACCTATTCAATACATAATTAACTTCGTTAATGAATGATCTATTTGTCATTTTTAATTATGATGACAATGCTATGTACAGATATCGATTTTTACTTTATTCAGATTATTAATTAATTATTCAACTTGTTAAGTAATAAAACAACTACCTTGTGGTTAGTGATTTTGATTTCAGAATTCCAACCTCCTAACTAATTTGAATTTCTATCATATTTTGTAATCTCATGTGATTTAAACATGTGACGGTTAATTATATTCTTTAAACTTTTGTCAATCATCACTCACAATTTCCAATGTTGGTTATGATAGTGTAGGGCCCGGCACTGTATCAAGCCCACATAGGTTATTCTAGCCCCTGAACAGACTAATCTATTAATCCTTTTCAAGCAACATTGTTAGCTTATTAAACCTGACATTTTTAATATGATCGTATGTGTGTTAATTACGTATCCTATTCATTTTTGTTTGACGATGGATATAGTGTGACGCTTGGTCAAATCGAGTTGGATAATTCGCCTTCTCTGCTGTGCATCACTTCGTTTCATTCCGCTTTGCTGCCTTCAATCCACCTCTGATTTTGTGATCATAACAACGATTGCATAAAATATACGTATTCAAATTTCATTCTTATATTTGCTTTATTAAATTCTTTTGATACTGAAGACGTTAAATAAATAACATAGCAGTTACTTTGATCACACTAATTTAATTTGATTATTGCTATGCTGTTTCACATTTCTAGTTTGAACTAGTGACTTTGCCAATAATGCAACTAAATTCCCATAAATCTTATGATACACATTTTCATTTGAATACATAGAGATTCCCAAACCTCGTGATTTTTAAACAAAAGCTTTTCAGTTTTCAAACATTTATCGGAAGACATCTAATGATAAAGAATTTAGCAGTCATTTTTTGGTTAGAATGCTATGTAAACATTTTATATTTGTTATTTTTGCAGAATCTGCCAAAATATATTAGTTTACACATTAAATTAAAACACAGAACAGTAAACACGATGACATTATAAAAAATTAATGTTATTTCGTTGAAATCGCAGTCAAAACTAAGCAATATGGAGTTATTAGTACTTACTTACCCATGCCTGTTACCCCTCGTCAAGGAGCATAGGCCGAACACCAACATTCTCCATCCAACTCTGTCCTGGGCAATCCTTTACGGTTGCTACTCATCCTTTTGATGCCTGCTCCCGATTCCTGACTCAGTGTGTTATTTGGTCTTCCTCTTTTCTGTTTCGCTTCAGGATTCCAAGTTAGGACTTGCTTGTGATGCAGTTTTGTGATTTTCACAATGCGTGTCCTATCCACTTTCAGCGCGTTTTCCTAATTTCCTCCTTAGCCAGAAGCTGGTTTATTCTCTACCACAGTAGACTGTTGCTGATTGTATCTGATCAACGGACATTGAGTATTTAACGTAAACAAATATTTATAAATGCTTGTAAATGTTTGATGATTGTTGTGGTAGTTCTCAAAGTTTCAGCTCTGTACATTTGAACTGTCTTGATGTTCGTATTGAAGATTGTGACTTTGATTTTGGTCGACAGTTGTTTTGATTTGCATTTGTTGTTCAACTGTAGAGATGCTACCTTTACTTTGCAAATCCTCACCTTTACATCTGCATCAGATCCTCCTTGTTCATCGATGATGCTGCCTCAATAGGTACGTGTAGGATTGCACCACTTCCGGAGCTTCTTCACCAAGTGTGATAAAGTTGGTGTTCTCCGTGTTGTATTTAAGGATCCTGTTTTATCTTTTGTGTATGTTTAGGCTTACTGATGCAGAGGCTTCTGTTACACCAGTTGTCTTGACCTGCATTTGTTGTTGTAGATGGGATAAAAGAGCTTGGTTATCTTCGAAGTCCAAATCGTCTGTTTGCATGCAAACTGTCCATTGTATTCCATGACTCCCCTGAGTTGTGGAGGTCTTCACAATCCCGTCAACCATCAAAAGAAAGTGAAAGAATGAAAGTAAGGAGCATTGTCTGACTCCGGTCCTCACTTGGAATTCGTCTGTCCGTAGTCCTCTATGCATAACTTTGTACTGTAGTCTGTCGTATGAATCTCGTATGATATTGGTGATTTTCTCAGGTACATCATAGTGCCGAAGAAAGTTCTATAAGGTTCTCCTATTGACACTGTCAAATACTTTCTCATCCTACATATCAGAAATTACAACGACATTTTTGAAGCCTTTTGGAATAGGTGTATGCCACAAACCAACGTAATCACTTCAATCAATCTATGCAAACCAGAGAACGAAATGACAAAAGAAGAAAAACCGAACATCATCTACAAAATAAATTGTTCCAACTGCGAAAAACACTACATCGAACAAAGCGGACGCCCTTTTTATCTTTGTCTGCACGAACACCATTAGCGGTCAAACATCATGATTTATGACCAAGAACCAAATCATTGGGATGTACAATTAAAATAAAAAGGTAAACAATAACCAATTAATATTGATGTCTAGAGGACATGCTGTGAACCATATGTGGAGAAATTCGTACACTCTCTTTCTACCTGAAGTTTGTGTTGATGATTTCGTTCAGAATAACTATGAAAGCTTCACGACCAAACCATCCACCTCAGCGAACAAAACTCTACCAAAAAAGGTTAACACTTCATACTAGTCATTCCAATATTAACGATTTTATTTTATGTGACAAACAATCCTTAATTCATATGTTATAATTTTAAATGATGTACCTTGTCTTAAACCTAGCTAGATTTTTTGGATTTTAAACATCTGATACCCATACCTTATGTTTATATCATTTAAAGTTAATTCAAAACTTTTCTGGATTTCAATGTTAAGATCATTGTAGTATTATAGGTCTAGGAGACATGATGAATTTTTTATGTTTCATTGAGCATTGCTTATTTTATAAAAGGGTTGATAAATCGTATTTTTTATAATTTTTTGCCCATCATATTTCATTTCGTATTTCCAGTGTTTCAATAGTAACAAGTAGACATCAGCCAGTATATTAATGTGATAACGATTTTACAACTAGTTTTCTAATTAGATACAACAAAATTAGTACAAAAACTTACCTAACAAACGGGAACAAACTATTTACATGCTCATAATGCACAGTTGTTATGTACCTTCAGAAGAAAAAAAAATTTTGTTGAGATATGTACAAATGAATGTGCAAGTTTATATTTAGTGAATGAACATACGTAAAGAAAATATGAAATTAAATAAATTTAATGAAGTTGGATTTTATGGAAACTTAAAACACGTACTTTCAAACTACATTATCATAAGAGCACGGAATGCGCGCTACTGGGATTTTCTCTTCGACAGGTAAATACTGTTTACTGCTTTCTGACTTGTCATAGTTTATTGCTCATCTTCATTTTTCCATCATACACAGACATTTAGTAACGAGATGTGTTTTGGAGGATTTGTAAATAGAAAAAACTGTCATACAAACACCGATATATCCAATAGGGGGAATGAACTATCAACTTATTGTTTTGTTTCATGAGAAAAAAATCTCAAATCAGTTATATATACGTTGTTTGGCTTTAAGAAAGTAATTCCATCTCTGTAATATAGCTGTTTTCAATACAACAGATCACTGATATTTTATACACACTTTAATGAATTGTTTATCAGTTTAGCTTTATGATAAAGACCTCAATATTACCAAAACACTTTTGTTAAGAAACTCTTTCCTTCTGAATAGTCAATAATAATTTATAAGTAGTTGATACAATGATTTTGAAAAGTAATCTATGAGCTTGTAGAAAATTGTTTATCATGTAGCTAAATTCATCAATGATAAACTAACCAAATTGGGTGGTTTAAAAAACCAAAGCTTCTTTAAGCCAAGTAAATTATAATCACATTATGGAAAAGATAATAGAAGTGAACTTAATTTTAAATTTCTAGGTTTACTCATTGTCAATGTCTTTGCACAATGAAGATCCGACAAAAATGAGAATGAGTTATGACCTTTAGAAAATGAATATGTGATGAACATAAATCTGTCACTTAACTTCGTGTATTACACATAGGCTAACATCGCTTGTCTGATAGTGGCAATAAGAAGCCAAATACGGGTTACGTCAGATCAAGTCATTTCAAACACTTGTTTATACAAACAGACATCCACAATGAAAAATAGAAAAACAAAGTGGAAAATTCGAGTGAGACAACTCGATTTGATCAAACATGACTCGACATTTTGTTACCAGACAAAAACAAGCTAAAGATATGTGACGAATAGTGTGGGCGATACTCACGAGCTCATAGAAAAATAGACAAAGTTAATAAGCAAATGAGTGACAGATTAAAAATGTGGTTTGAGAAGATTGAATAAACTGGTTTGTTTGGAAGCTAGAATAACCCATGTGGTTTTGACATAGTACTAGACACTAGGCTACTCTAGAGGTTATCAATGCTCCATTGACGTTTGAGAAAATAATTTCTTTATCATTGTCATTAGTTGTTTGTTTGAAAAACGATTCATGTTCATACGGACTTTTGTAAGCAATTAATTTCCAAGTTTATCTATCTACTAAGGTTTTTCTTTAATTATCCTGTGGTATTAAGTGACAAGTGCTTCTAGGCTTACGTATTTCTGCATAGATGTATTGATGCACTTGTCAGTACGAATTCAGATAGTGTAATTTTCGAAATTTATTCATATTAAAGCAACTAAAGCAGATTTAAAGACAGGCTTCAAATCTCATCGGTTTAATAACTATATAGCAAATATTAACCACAAGAAACTTCGACATTTTTATTTAGAGTTATAGTTACATGAAGTGCTTCATATATGCTATCAAATTACTGTCAACTCGATGTTATTTCTTATTTCGAACAATGTTTGTATTTGTATCGCTTTCTTTGAATAGTTTTGTAAAATACATATTTAAAACAAGAATTCATATAATTAGCTTACACTGGAGGTAATCCTAAAACAGCGATTGCAAAAGCAGTTTTAGAAAACCACAATGGTTTAAATTTTCTCCGATAAATTAACATTTAACTTCAATAATATTTTCCACAAATTGAGTTAAAATCTAAAATATAAAAAAGTCATAATTCTCAGTATATTACAAGGCTGAAAATACAACTGTCGAGTGGATTTTAGAAAACGTAATTTGATTACTCTCAATAAATGCATAACTTTTGAATGTCTTCCAAGTACAACTGGAGTCCAGAAGACCTTAAATCGATCGCATACTGAGATAAGAAACGTTATCACTAATTTAAAGCATTTTATCTTTAAATATTATGAACTAGAATAATTAAGACTGATAATACCAATGGAACACAACCAATTAAGTCACATGTCTGATTTCTCTAATCGGTATTGATTATATCAGTGTAACATGAAAATGTTAGCCTCAAGATTGATACAATTAATAAAATGAGAATGGGTCCACATTACGTTTAGCTAACTTAAAACACAACAGATTGTTCAATAATACTATTAACCATATAGACTAAAAATAATGAAAAAGCTATTCTATAAAAGGTATGTCAGTGATCCATTTTAAAATGTAAACCCAAACAATAAGTTACATTGATAGGTATTGTGCCTCAATTTTATAACTCCATGTAAAATACTTACATTTTGACCTAATAAATTAAATGTAATAAATAAATAAATAAATAGTAAATAAACAATCATAAATAAATTCATTGAATCATGTAAATATAACATACTCATTATAAAAGACACTTCTTAATTGCATTTCAATCATATTTTCTGTTTGTTTGCTGAAATTTAAATTACACAATTTCTAATTCATAAGAAACCATTAAAAGTTTTTAACATTGAAAATGATAATGATTTTACCATAGATTTACATTTATTAAGTTTGTGTTTTGATTTGTTGATTTCGAAAGAGAATCTCTGAGTATCTGTCCAGTAATAACTTTCGATTAAGATAGCAGGAAAGAATTTCCGACTATTAAGGAGCGTAAACATTTTGTATGCTGGAAAACTTACAGTTTAATACTGAATTTCATATCATGAAAAACCTAATTTTCCCTTAATTCAGATCATTCCTATTCAAAGTAATTGCGCTGTCTTAACAAGTATATGCTGCCGATAAGATAATGGTTAGTGATTAACTACAAGTTATTACTAACTAAAAATACCTGATTAATTCAGTATAAGAACTCCTCCTGCAGCTCCTCTGGTGCTACTGTCGGTCCCAGGCCCAGATAAAGGAGGGTTGAGCATGGGGTTAAAGACCTCATCCCGTAGAAAACTAACTCGCTAAAAAACGCTAACCAGAAAAATAATTCAATTCAGTATAAGGCAATTTTTAAAACTAAAATCCAAATAATATTGACTAACCATCAATAAACTAATAAATGTTTAATCATTAGTTTGTTTCCGTTCACTCAGTGACTTAATTATATGTTACACAATTTCATAAAACTCAGTCACATTACTACACTCTAAATAACATTGCCTTTCTTATTACTATGAAAATGAATTTGTTTCAATTTTTTGATGATATCATCTTTGCTACCCTAATTGTTAAGATCATATCTAAGTAATGAAAATAGTTACACAATCATCGAATGCGTACATATATACATTTAATAAAATGCAATAATTTGCATGACTGACAACAACTTTCATTAAATCATGTGTTATAAGCAATAACTTAACAAACTTTTACTCATTATTACATCATAGTTTCATCAATACTGATTACAATATTTATTGTTTATGCTTAAGGATAATACAAATCTTAAATAATTTTCTTTTTTTAAATCAATTGACTACTGTTGTTTTTTTATAATTTTCAAGAAAATATTTATTTATTTATTTCAAAGTTGATTTCATGACATGAAAATGATTCTATCAAATGTATCCATCATTTGAATGTGATCAAGTTTAAACATGTTTGTTTAACTAGGCTTATTAATAATTGAAGTAGTCATTTCCATATCATGATATGTTAAATAGATTTTGTAAAATGAATTAATTGTTTGACTCAATATAAAACTATATGAACTAGTTACTGAACAAAATAAAGGTAAATTATAGTAAACAAATATTGATATATTTAAACACTCGGTGAATAAGACAATTGATCTGAACTTGTTCATTCTAATAATAAATATCAATTACTCAGCTAACAAAATATGTTTATTTTATTTATTTCTTTATATATTTGGAACTCGGTAAATGTAATGTTGAATGTTACATTAACAAATTTGACTTTTAAAATAACAAAAAACCATTTCCAGTCAATATATACCAAACAACTTGAATCGGATAAAAGTATTGAAGTTTATATCGTAATGTAGGCATTATTTTATTAATGATTATCTATTTACTATACATTATGTGTGCTTTATTGATCAGTTATATTAATAATTAACCTTTATGTAGGTTTCAGTACTTCAGATTTAGGAAAGTGGAAGATACTGAAATATTAATTAGAAGATGAACCAATCTTAACGCTTTTCATCATTTTAAAACTACCCAGTAAAGAGGTACTTTTAATCAAAATCATTTTAAATGGTGTTGATATGATGGGAAGAAAAGTCAAGATTCAAGTGATTTACACATTATGAGTTTTATTCAACATTATTTTTGCTTTGATTCAATGTAGTGATTACTCAATGTAATATTTATTTTATTTTCTCGTATGATATTTTATTCTGTAGAATATACGATATTTTTGTATTCCATTGACATGAACTATGCTCTATATGTGATTTGTTATAACTCTAAATATTTCTCATATATGTGATTTCATCCTTATTATTAATCAAAAAGAGTGTACGAATCAATATATGAATGAGTGTATTTTCGACTAAAATCGTCGTCGTCATCATAGTGTTTTGGGGCTAATCAATCTTCACTTATACCAGTCTTGTGTTTTTACTTTCGCGTCGTGGTAATTGTGGAGGTCCCTTCGTTCCAAGTATAAGTGATCAGCGATTCCGACATAACAATCAGCGACGATCAGATAAACAAGTAGCATTCCATTTGACACACATGTTATAACAACTGGCGACGGGGATTTCAGAAAACATTCACAAGTTATAACAGGCGTTTTAAATCATAATCATCCAGTTAGTTCTGATACTTAAAGCATCTAATGATGTTTGTTTTCCAATAGCAGCTATACAATCAACTTCACTAGAATCTGTTCAGAAATATAATAGTACAATTATGAAGGGTTGACAAAGAGTTTTAACAATGTTTTGGAGGTTTCAAAGGATTCAGAGAACAGCTTTACTTGTTGACAATTCCTCATATCTTCATCATCTAAATACCTAGTCACTATTTTCTGAGTGGTGAGATAATTACAGCCTGAACAGTCCTCAAACGTACGCATTTTAATATAATCTAGTCGTGATTGTCACAGAACAAGTTACTTAGATAGAAACGATTTGTACGAAAATGTTTTTCTATTGAGTCTATTTACATTTGTGAACATGTATTTTCATGTAATTACTTGATTTCATTGTAGATTCAATAGGTCAACACGTCAAAGAAACGTGTTGAAATATACTCTCGAACGAATAAAAAGGATTATTCTTTCCTCTCCATAACCTGACCCATACTTATGGGACTTCAGGAAAGCACTCTTTAAATGTTAAATCAAAAGAACGATGAAGCACAAAATTCAGCCGCCATCAACTTCATTCTCTGTAAATATGGATGTTAAGCCTACACAATTTGACCGATATGACCTAATATTGTTTAGAAAGTATTTAATTGTATCTGATTCACCCAGTAATCATTCAATTGAGAACGTACGGTCTAATTTTTCCGAATTTACACTAACATGTTGAGTTAATTTTCAATAGATTAAGAGCACAGATCAGTTTTTGACGTTTCCATTATTATTATTATTATTATTATTATTATTATTATTAGTAGTAGTAGTAGTAGTAGTAGTAGTAGTAGTACTGCAGAAAAAATCATAAGCTTCGAAACGCACTGAATCTAATCATAATCAAATACTAATATATCTATTCAGTTATTGAATTTATAATTCCAGTTCCAACAAATCTTCTAGAATAAAGATCTTTTTAACCACCTGGTTTCCGACTTGTAAGTGAACTGCATAATACAACAAAATCAATTTGAGGGTTGAAGTATGTAGGGAAAGCTAACGATAAGTAATGAAATGCCGACGATTGTAGAACGTGTTTGATAAGCTTTCACATAATATACAGAAAGATTGTAGACAAAGCACTACTTTTCATGGTATGCGTTGAAATGTGACTGGGATAAGTTAGTTGAAATAGGTCCAGTATTTCTTCCATAATTAAGGTGATTACGTAAAAATAACATCCGAAACAATATAAATTTGGGAAGTCAGTGGAATGTGAAAAGCAAATATGAATTAAAATAATTAATAAAATAAAACCACATTTCCCTTATGCACAGAAGTCATGGTCATCCGTCCTTCCATACATTTTGAGTAATTCAACTCTACCTAATACTATCCTTTTACCTCAAGATTTCATCAGTATAATTACTATCCGTACAATTACTCATCAGCCACGTGAATTTATGAGTCGCTTCTTAAAATCTAACATTCATTTGAATCATTTGGTGACCATCTAGTAATGACTGCAGTGTGACATTCACAAAACTGTAATTATTACTCGAAATGAATAAATCTATCCATTCACACTCACGATAGTTCATGTTAGAAACGTCATTTACACATGCGTAGTAACCAAACATTACTTACGTCAAATTCAGAGGAGCTACCATTCCCTATATGACATTTGCTGAGCTAAAATCTCAGATTTCAGGATTTTTTTCTCACATAATTTTCAACAGAACTAGTACATTTACAAAAGTATGATCTGATGAAGACTTACTTCCTGGTTTGATTTACCTAAAACAGAAAACATTACGAATTACGATGAACTAAATTATATTTGTAAGGTAATGTCAGCTGTGTTGGTACAACTTATTGTCATACATTTTATTTGTTCAATTCGCTGTTAGGTTGAACAGATTTTCCATCAACTAGAATATACAT